GTCAACTTGACACACTTGGGTTGAGGGAGCCTCAATTGGGGAATTTCCTTTGTTGGACTGGCCTATGGCCATGTCCATGGGGCGTCTTCCTGATTGTTGAGTGATGTGGGAGGGCCCAGCCCACTGTGGGTGGTTCCACCCCTGGGCAGGTGGGCCTGCCTGTGTTGCATAAGAAAGCAGGCTGAGCAAGGTCCAGGGGAGCAAGCCAGTAAGCAGTGTTCCTCCATGACCTGTGCTCCAGCTCCTGCCTCCAGGTTCCTGTCCTGAGTTCCTACCTTGGGCTCCCTGATGAACTGTGAGCCGGGAGATGTAAGCCAAATAAACCCTTTCCTCCCCAAGTTGGTATTGGTTAGCGTGTTTTGTGGCAGCAATGGAGAATCAAACTAGGACAGTGACTCTTGACCAAAAGGCCCTGACTGGAGTGAGTCCAAGCAAGATTAGGAAGAAATCTTTTAGTGATGGAGAGTATTGACATTTTGCTGTAAAACACAGACGATAAAGACAGCACTACCTGAAGGGGATGGTGGGCATGGAAGAAGATACAGAGATAGGATCTGATTTTTTTTTTCTGGTTGCATTTTCACAGTGAAATAAGTTATAAAGTATCTACTGAGAGTGAGGATGAAGAGGATGAGTTAGAGGTATTGGGAAATTGGAGCAAGTGTGAGTTTCCCAGGAGGATCTTGCTTCTCAAAGTGTGGACCCATGAGAACATCAGCATCATCCTGGAAGTTTAGGCATGCAGAATCCAAGGCCTCATCTCTAAGCCTTGAATCAGATTTTTCATTTTACCAAGTTTCCTAGTTGGTTGATATACACCCCAGTATGGGAAGGACTGATGTGAGAAATGGGACAGTGATGGGTCAGGGGGGTTAGAGATTGGAAATGGATTGCCATGGGTGGGTGCTCAAACTCCTTACATTGGGATAGGCCTAGAGTGGAGTGTTGGAAAATATCTAAGGCTGGTGGTTTGCCTTGTGTCTCAGACCAAGGGGGGAGAACTAATGAGGTGAAGGATCACACATGAGTGTGGTTGGCTATGGGACCAGCCCAGGTTTAGAAGAAACCCAGGGGAGAAAAAGAGATTGCATCATAGCTCTGCTCAAGAATTCTTGGGAGAACTTGTTCAAAATGCAGCTCCTAGGTGACACTGTAGACCCTGTGCTGGGAATCTTTGGAAATCTAACCTTCTGATCTTGGGGATTCTGATGAGGCCATCTGGGGGCCTTGCTTTGTGAAATATTGATCTAAAAGATTCTTAGGATCTCAGATCTTTACTGGAAAAGAATGAAAATCGGGTGCCTAGATGTTCTGACCTTGGTAATTTGGAGACTTTATATATCATATCTTTTTACTGACATCACTCCTGACATTATCAGAAGACACACAGTCTTAGGAGGTTACTAAACACTCAACATTCACATCCATAAAGTAGTTCTAAGATATGCGGTCTATGGAGAGAATTTTGCATTCTTTCTTACAGATTGTCATCAAAATAGGTACTCAAAGAAATTGAGCTGAGCTTTAATAATGATATCCCTTAAATGGCATAATTATGCATTTCACCTGTGTGCTTAAGTTTTGATGGCCTGTTATCCTGCAGCTAAGGATGGTGATTACTGGCGATTGCTTGCCCCTGGAAACTACAAACTTACAGCATCAGCTCCTGGCTATCTGGCAATAACAAAGAAAGTGGCAGTTCCTTATAGCCCTGCCATTGGGGTAAGTAGTCATAAAAATAGTTAAGAACAATATAGTAATGAAGCCAATAATAATTCAGCATTTGCCATCGTCAAGCATATTTTAACTGACTTTAATAGTCACTATAGCCTTATGAATTAGGTACTATTATTATCTCCACTTTACAGATGAGAAAACTGAGGTCCAACAAGGCTTGGTGACTTGCTCAAAGTCTCCTTGGGCTTTTTGAAAAGATTCACAAGAACATAAAATAAAACTTAAAAATACTAAAATTTTTATTTGCTAATCTTGGTTTCAATCCAAATGGGATTCTGTTCCAATGATCTTTTCATCTCTAGCATCTAGTATAATGCCTTAATAAATATTTGAAAATGTGAATAATGCCTATAAGATAATCTTAGGCATTAACCAAACATTTTTCATTTTGAGACAAGCGTCTTCCTGTAGCTCCAGCTGGCCTGGAACTCTCTATGTAGACCAGACTGGCCTCGATCTTATAGAGATTCACCTGCCTCTGCCTCCCAAGTGCTGGGACTAAAGGCCTGTGCCATCATGCCTGACTCTCAAACATTTATTAAGAATACACAATAGGAGCTTGATGCATGATAGTGGTTTGAAGGTAAAGTGTTTGCTCCACAAGATGAGGACCAGAGTCTGAATCTCTAGAACCCAAGAAAATGCCAGAAGGCATGTAAGCCAACCTGTAATTCCAGTGCTTAGGAGGCAGAGATGGGGATTCCCAGAGCAAGCTGGCTAGCTAGACTGACTCTCTCTCTCTCTCTCTCTCTCTCTCTCTCTTTCTCTGGTGTGTGATGGGGGAGTGCATATGTATGAGTGCATATAGAGGCCCAAAGTTGTTGAGTGTCTTTCTTTTTCTTTTTTTACAGAGCATAGGGTGGGGGTTTATTTACAGAGGAGCAGGAGCCCCCCATTTATGGCTGCACTGGAAAGTCCACACTGTCGAGTGTCTTTCTTGATCATCCTCTCCTTTATTGAGGCACAATCTTTCACTGAACCTGTGACTTACAATTCTGGCTAATCTAGCTAGCCAGCTTGCCTGGGGACCCCCTTCTCGTGACTTTCGAGTACAGGGATGGCAGTCAGCTGCCACACGTGCTCAGCTTTTATGTGGGGTGTTGGGATCTGAACTCTGTTCTCATGCTTGTGAGGCAAGTGCTTTATACATTGAGCCCTTTCCCTGGTCCGTTAAACATTGTTTCTTATGTAAGCATATCCAAATAGTTTTATTAGGAAGGTGATGGTATGGCATCAACATTTTTCTGGGATCAGAATTTCACTATCATCTTTTTACATCATATTACATGACTGGGACCACAAGGCAGCCTGCAGAATTTCTAGTGAAAAGACTCCACTGTAATTTTGTTTATACACTGAAAATTCAGAGTATAAATACTTTTGTCCTCATGTGGTGTGGTGCCTCCCTGGGAGCGTGCCTTGTGCTTGTAGAGCAATCACTCTTATCCACTGAGCCATCTCTCCAGCTCCAAGTGCTTATTTTTTGCAAACAAAAGATCTTGAGTTTTTAAAATGGTGTTTTCAATTCGATTGTGGATATATCTACATGAGGTGGTGTGTGTATTAAAACCAGGAAGCAGATTTGGGTAATGAAACCTGGAAAATAAGTAGCTCCAGGTACAGGTTGAGAAAGGTTCAATACTTTTCTTCCCTAGTTCTTCAAATAGTCTGAGGATGTAGTGCATGTAATCACTTTAGAAAATAACCAAGTGTTGAGGTGGGCACATCAGGGAAGTCTTAGTTCCATCTGGGATGGTAGACTCAGGAGGACTGGGTGAAGGCTTAGATTAGCCCTTTGTATGGGGGTGAGGGTGTTCTCCGCTGACCTGAAGGAGACCCCCCAGTTCACCAGAACATAGTTTGGAGGCATGTGTCTGTGGTCTCTTGAATAAATTCATGATCTGAAAGACAACTGTGTAGACTGGGTCACCAGCACTCTGAATCATATTCCATTACCCTTCACCCCCAATTAAGATCGAATTCAAGGCTAACAGGCAAAGCTCACTGGATATTTAAAGGAGGAAAATTATAAGCTATAGCTTTCCACGAAGGAAGAGGATGGGCAGGGGAATTTACTGAACTCTCTTTAAAGCTAATAGAACAAAGCATAATTCAAATAGAATGACTTCTGAATATTTTTCATATGAAAGAATATTTTGTTTAAAACAAAACTTTCCCTCCCTTAGATCTCCTTTAATTCAAGAGGCTGGATTGAGCTTATTCTGTTATATAAGCTGTAAAATTGTTTTTTAAATTTTAATTTTTTAAAAAATACATAAACAATTTGCTAACAATGTTATTGATTTCCCCCTTCAGGTTGATTTTGAGCTGGAGTCATTCTCTGAGAGGAAAGAAGAGGAGAAAGAAGAACTGATGGAATGGTGGAAAATGATGTCAGAAACTTTAAATTTTTAAAAGAGGCTTCTAACTAGCTGCTTCAATCTATATAATATAGTATAATGCATTGTGGCTATTTTATTTTAGATCGTGTGCCATTAATATTTAACACTGGTTTATTTTTAATCATTTAAGTAGTAATCCACATTACTTAGATTCAGATAAAAATATAGGAACTCGATTTACTTCACCCTCATGGCATCCATTTCCCTACAGAGCTTTAATAAAATGAGTGATGATCTTTTATGTAACTGATGACAATGCGATATGACAAATACCATTGAAAAAGTCAACAGATGTAGCTTGGAGTTGTGAGCTCTGTACTGCAAGAGTTACGTCGCTCCGTACACATTGTCATTTGTCTCTTGTGCTGATTCGCTGTATTAAAGCATGAGCTGTGAATGCATTTCTGATGGGAAGAAAATGTACGTTTCTAAGCGGTTTTGTGTGCAAAATGAAAACTGACTTCTTGCTTGTACTTGTGAGAGAAAAATTGTTCTGTCAGTCAGCCCGTTAACACTACAGAGTTTAAAGTTTTGTCTTGATTGCATATTGGCCCAGAATTGCATTCTGAATGAATAAAGGTTTAAAAAGAATCTCTGTCTTGTGCATTTTAATTCTCTATGGTCTAAAATTGTGGTTTCATGATCCAAAAAAAGTTTCCTTCACAGTGGCTTCTCGTTTGTTTACCTTCTACATTTAAAAAAACTTATTATAGCTGCATGCCAGGCAGCGTAGAAGCCTTTTGTGCATTGTTGTTTGGCTGAAGGTTTTGATTCTATAGCTCTTTTTAAGATTTTATTTTTAATTATATGTGTGTCTGTATGAGTTTGTACAGTGCCTGAGGAGGCCAGAAAAGGGCATCAGATCCCCTGGTGCTGTAGTTACAGGTGGTTATGGCCACTCAGTGTGGGTGCTGGGAGCTGAATGCTGGTCTTCTACAAAAGCAGTACATGCTCTTAACTGCTGAATCATCTTTCCAGCTCCTGGATTCTATGAATCTTAATGGGTCAGTTGTGGACACAGACTTTAACTAAATATATACATGAGTTAACATGTAAGCATGTGTTGTCAAGAGGAAAATGAAGGGGCTGGAGAGATGGCTCAGTGGTTAAGAGCACTGACTGCTCTTGAAGGGGATCCAGGTTCGATTCCCAGCACCCACATGGCAGCTAACAGCCATTTGGAACTCTGGTTCCAGGGGATCCAACACCACCTTCTGGCCTCTGTGGGCATTGCACAACACAGGTGCACTTACCCACATGCAGGCAATATACTCATACATATAAAAATAAGAATAATAAAATATTAAAGAAGAAAATAAGATTGGATGAATGGAGTTAGAAACAGACTCTTAATGCATATAAGCCTAGACTTAAAATTTAAGTCTGTAAGAGCAAGACAGAGTGACTGAGCATAGGTGTATTTGCATGCGCGTGTGCGCATGCGTGTGCTGCTGATGGTTGTGGTATGATTGACTAATATTCCAGGTGTTAAAATAGTAGAAACTGTTCTAATAATAGACCCCCCTCCCCAATACTTTCTTGTTTAAACACAACAGAAGTGTATTTATTGCTAGTGAATAGTTCTGTACTGAGCAGAAGTCAAACATGCAGTAGCTTTTCTCCACACTGCCTGGGAGCACAGTCTGTGACCCATTCTGGCCAAAGCTATGTCATTTACTACAGGTCCACCTGAGTGGCAGAGCTGGTCATCTCCAGAATAGCCACTGGGAAAGGAGGAAACACATGGAGGAACATGCGAGGAAGCTTTCATCTTCAGGTCTGGGGATGCTATACATTGCTTCTGCTCAAATCACATTGCCTAGAATCGCATGCAAAACACTCATATACTTAAAATTTTTAAAAAGGCATTTGATTTGGTTTGTAATGGAAATTTAAAGCAGGAAATTACGCTGAAGACATATATGCAAGAGAAGTGTTAAACAGCTATGGGTTATAAACAAGTCAAGTTGCTCCAGGTAACACAAATCTGAAAGGGGGAAGGTGGGGGGAGTAAACTTTAATGAAATGACACATTTGAACTTCTTTTTCTCATTGACAATGAAAACCAGGCACATCATTAGGGAAGGGAGAGCTAGCAGTGACTCATATTTTGATTTCCGGTTATTGTCATAAACAAAGAGAAATGTTTTTGCAAAAAGAGAACTCTGAACTTTGGTATTCATATTTTATTTGTATAGACAGTCTCTGAAATCTTCCCATGATTTTGTGTTGTGGGAGGCTAAAAATCCCCTTATTTGTTCCAACATGTTACTCAGCTTCTTGTCTCAAAATTCTCGTGAGGATTGTCTTCTGTGGTTATGACTGGATGGCATTTGGAATTTCTGCCTCAAAAATGTCAAGACAGAATATGCCCAGACTTTTATATCTCACCTTGAAAACATATGGCATCCTGCTTTGTTATTTTAAAACAAATGGTGTTCCAGGTCCTTACAAATGCTCTGATTCCTCACTTTCCTCCCCCCACACATTCCTCCCTTCATCTTTCATTTCCATCTAGATGATTATTCTGTGTATGAATTGACTCAATTATGACTTAGGTTTCTAGGGTGGTGCATATGTGTAGTTGGATGCTGTATACGATTAACTAAAACTATTACAAAATCCCCCAGGAATCAGTAGTTCTTTTTTTATTTATTATTTTTCTTTTATGTGTATGTGCACATTGCCTGCATGTATGTAAGTGCACCCATATTGTGCAATGCTCGTGGAGGTCAGAAGAGGCCATTGAGTACCCTGGAAACTGGAGTTAAGAACGGTTGTTAGCTGCCATGTGGGTGCTGGGAATTGAACCCAGGTCCTCTGCAAGAGTAGCCAGTGCTCTCTTAACTGCTGAGCCATCTCTTCAGCCCAGCCCAGGTCTTTCTTTTTCCCTCTCCAGCCCCAGGAATCAGTAGTTCTAAAGCAGGGCAAAGAATGGCTTATCTAGGGTAAAAGTGACGAGTGTGAAACAAACTGATATTGGATATGGTCTTTAATGGTGACTCACAAGAGGAAAATCATGTTGAAGCTTGTTGAAGGTTTTTTTGATGTCAGGGGCCACAGGGCTCCAAGTTTTGAGAGAATGTCATGTTTTTTTTCTTTTTGATTTTAGACTATCTTGCCTTTTTTTTTTCAGCATTCCACCCATTTCCTTTTTCTTTTCCATGCTTTGCTTTGCAGATTCATTCAGCAATCATTACGTGCTGGATCCTTAGCATTTGAATAGCATCTTGCCCAGGTCTGAGGTAATCACCACCATCACTGTGTTCATCATCATTATCATCACCATCTCTATCATCACCACCACCATCACTGTGATCACTGTTACCTCCACCTCCAGCATCCTCCCCAACATCCTGTGAGCACCCTCATGATTATTTCTATCACTGTCCTCCACATCTTTATCTTCCTTATGTTACTGCATCTTGTGTTACATTCTGTGTTAAGTACTGATAAAACTGCTTCGGAGCTGAAAGAAATGTGGTCTTTTTCTCATGTTTCTCTTCCACATAATTTTTAAATCATGTGTCTTAGAATTATTCATGGACTAACTGACGAACAGTATGTTTAATGAATTCCTAGGGAACCATTACTTGATCACTATAAAACAAAAGAGATCACAGAAAACCATTGGACCTTTTTCTTTTTTTCTTCTCATAGCTGAACCATTGGTTGTATGTTAAATTTCTTGAGATTGGGTATTATAATAATACATTGTTTTCATTGTTCTAATCAGATGACTTAAAATTGCTTTTTCTTCTTATATCAACACAGTTATTCTAGAAATTCCTGAAAAAGTCAAGCCAAACCCTGCCAGGCTCACTTCTGGTCCCTGCTTTTGCCATAGTGCTGTCTGAAGGAAGGGCTTAGTGGTTGGATGCATCAGTCCCTCACCACTATCTTTTGCTCCAGAAACTTCACTCCAGCTTTCTCCTGGGGCTTCTTTTAAATTCTGACGAGCAAGATGGTGAGAACATAGCAGTGATTCTAATCAGGGCTTCATGCATTTGTTGTCAGGGCTCAGCTGGGTTTCTTGAACAGGGCTGTGGGATTTGGGGTGTGATTAAAGCAGTGGGTGGTACAGCATTCTTTGCTTAAAACCTAAGACACACTCACTTGTGTATTAAATACATAGAACTATTTTGAAGCCAAGCATATCTATAATTAAAGCAAGAAAGTGCCAGTTTTATGTGCGCACCTCCAGTTCCACACTGCCACCACCACGTTGCTCTTTGTCAAGGCACCAGAGGTGCTGAGAAGTATGCACAGCTGACAAGCAGATGTGGAAAGGACTGTATGTTAGACTTTTGGTTCAGTCATTCTCAGCTAGGTCTTGAGGGCTTTTGCTCACATAAACAAGAACGTCCTCCTCCTCTTCCTCCCCCTTCCTCCTCTTCCTCCCCCTTCCTCCTCTTCCTCCTCCTCCTCTTCCTCCTCTTCCTCTTCCTCCTCCTCTTCCTCCTTCTCCTCTTCCTCCTCCTCCTCCCCTTCCTCCTTCTCCTCTTCCGATTACAGATGTGTACATTACCGAGCCTGGGTTCTGGAGACATGAACTCAGATCTTCATGGTTGCTTAGCAAGTACTTTACCTACTGAGCCGTTTCCCTAGGCCTGAGAGTGTGCTCTTTCTAGCACCAAGCTCCTCTTCCTCTTCTTCTCCTTCTCCTCTTCCTCCTCCTCCTCTTCCTCCTCCTCCTCTTCCTCCCCCCTTCCTCCTCTTCCTCCTTCTCCTCTTCCTCCTCCTCTTCCTCTTCCTCCTCCTCTTCCTCTTCCTCTTCCTCTTATTCCTCTCCCTCCCCCTCCTCCTCTTCCCTGTCTTCCTCCTCACCCTCCGTCTTTTCCAGTTCTGGGAATTGAACTCAGTGCTACCTCCTCAGCTCTACAAACTTGTTTTTTTCCTTTTCTGATTTTTATTTTTATTTTCTCACTTCAATGCAGAAGGGATGATCTGGACTTTGTAATCACAGTACAGGACTCTTAACTTCTTACCAGGGTTGGTGTAGAGGCAAGCATCCAGAAGAACTTCCTGTGGCCCATTTAGGTCAAGGGATAACATGACTAATAATGCTATCCTAGAGTCCTTGAGATTGTATTAAAAAACAAAAACAAAAACAAAAAACCCCAGAAAATGTAGGAAGTCACTTTTTCTCCATCTAGGAATCACTTTCAAGCCCACTATCATGATGTATTAGTTTTCTTTTTCATTACTAAGATAAAATTCCTGATGCTAGGTACTTTATTATTAAAGGAGGATTATTTAGAGGCTGGAGAGATGGCTCAATGGTTAATAACATTCACTACTCTTGCAGAGGACCCAAGGTCAGTTCCCAGCACCCATGTCAGGTGGTTCACAACCTCTGGTAACTCCAGCTCCAGGAGATCAGATGTCCTCTTCTGGCCTCTGTTGACAACTGCACTTAGATGTATATACCCACACAAAGACATGACACATACACATAAGTAAAAAAATAAAATCTTCATATAAATCCCAGCACTTGGGAGGCAGAGGCAGGTGGATCTTTGTGAGTTTGAGGCCAGCGTGGTCTTCACAGTGAGTTCCAGAACAGCTGGGGCTACAAGGAGACCCTGTCT